TGCAGTTTCCATTACAGTAAATCCTTGCTGCACATTCCCAGAGGTTTTACAACTTCTCTATCCCTTTAAAAAAAAGTTACTCCAAGTTGAAACCTGCCACATAAGACTTAAAAAAAAAGGCAGGCAAAAAAGTAGCAGCGTATTTTCCTTAATCCTCAAAATAATATGTACATTTCAATAAGGGGGGGGGGGGGTGTTTGAAAAAAAATGTTTCTCTCTATATTTACAGTTCCATTCTTAAAACTATGAGGACACTGGCAACATTTATTTTTGAATTCTGCAAATCAAGAATATAAAAAAATGTTAAAGGGACAAGTGATTAGCACCCTTTCATCTCACAGCAATTCTATAGCAAAAAAGCAAGAAAGAATAGACTGAGGCTCAAGTCTCGTAACAGGCTTAACGGCAAGCAGGCTCAAAGGCCCCAAGACAACTGCATGATCAGTACTGAAATGAAAAAGTACTGAAATACTCCTTTTTAAACAGCTATTAGGAATGGCTATTGTACATATCCACACAACTATCTTTTATAAAGAATTTACTATGCATTATGGCAAGACAATCCTATTTACACAATAAGTTGTTCCAGTCCATCAAGTACACAAGGAATTTCAATGCATCCTAAAAAAATCAATTGGACAACGATCATCTGATTAAACAGGCACATCACACCATTCAATTCTTTCAAACATATTCATAAACCCAAGCCTTCAGACTTTGCTGAAGACTTATACGTGGACATTTCAAGGAGCTGATTTTTAAGCTTAATTAAATTCAGCACAAAATAAAGTATTACATGCTATTAACATGAAAAAGCAACACCAGCAAACAATGACAGAAAAAACTTGTTTTAGTAGGTACTCTGAGGCATTCTAGTTTTAGCAAAAATGTTTTTTATGAAGTAGCAGAAGGCTTTCCTACACCACACAGCACTAAGGCACAGAAACACTTTGACAAGGCATTCAAACCAAAGCCAGAAACCGATTAGGGCATCGCCACTTGATCGATTTGAGGTCCGAAAGGAGTCAGGGGTAAGAAAAAGAAGTTAAATTAAAAGGAAATTATTGTCTCTATAATCAGATCTTATTACGCACACTATAGTGAAATATATTGCAAAACCAACCCTGTAGCTTGCAGGTGCTAAGTAACCCTGCATATTAGGCTTCTCGATTTTGACATCACCTCTCTGTAATTCCGAGAAATATCTAAGAGATTAGAAACTGGAAGTTAAACCTGAAAGTATGTTTTTCTGCTTTTTACATACATACCGCGATCTCCCTGAAGTCCTGCGTGAGGAGTGCTAATAATCCTAAAATTACATTCATCCCATGCAAACCAGGAGAGAGAGCACATGAGATGATGAGATAGCAGTCTTAAGGTTTACATGCAAGACCAGCATTTTAAAACCTTGGGATGCAAACACTGGCCTTGTTGCAACTTGTGTTTCAGTCATGTTGAAAACTGACAAAGGCACAGGTCAGCTTGCTCCCAGCTTTCCCTTGCCTCTGCCTCCTTCCCCTCCCACTGAAAGAGGACAAGAAAGAGATGAAAACCCAAAAGTTTCCTAACATAAAAATTGCTTTGTAATTCACTCACCATGCATATTTACGCCTACTGACAAAAGACACAAACTGTCAAGTCTGCAATCCTATAAATTACGTATGCGATTCTTTTAGTAACACCTACCTTCCTTATATTTCCCCTTTTATACAGGTACAGAATAATTTGAATTTTAATCCCTAACCCACTAAGACAATTTTACCCACATCAGTCCAAATGCTTTATACATTTATTTGACTCACACCAAGTTAACTGGACATGCCCTTAAAATTCAACAAAATGCTGCAGCATTTTTCAAATTGCTTAGCATTTTGTCACAACAAGCTATCACCCATCTTAACATGACAAATCTGGATCTCTTGTCAAGCATTGGAGAAGAAAGAAAACCTCAAATTATCATTAGCTTCACTACAGTTCTACTACCTCTCTTTCCTACATGCCTATGAATATATATCAACCCCTTTTTCTTTAGTTATATTAGTCAGTAATGCAAAAAGAGTGTCTGTATTTCAAATTTTGCCCCTTACAGAAGGCTTAGTGTTTTTTTCTGGGGCTCGCCATTGGTAACAAATGAGTGAGGAGTTCCAAGTTCAAATGCTTAGGAAACCTGGTTTCTCTCTTCACAGCATCCTGTGCAGCCACGTCACAGCACATATCCCATACTCTCCATAGTCTCTTCAACATCCTGCAATTTCCACACAGAATGTCAAGAAAATTTGGGGTTTTATTTGCACCTTCCTGTTTGGTATCAAGCATGCCTAGACCAAACAGCAGTTGTAATAGAATGTCTGCAGCATTACATAGGTATCACTTTTTCAACAGGTTAGCAGGCTCTGCTTGACACCCATGCTGCAGATACAGGGAATGACTGCACCTGATAACATTTCATCTTTTTCATCCTCTTTGATCTTTCAATGCTTATGCCAGAGGCCTCCCTTCCAGCGAGCTCTCTCCTCCACCTCTGGGCTGCTGGCTGGAACGCACTATTCTCTGCTGCAACATGACATAGACCAGCTACCTACATCTAGGCAATTATCTTCATTTCTACCAGCTCCATTAATTTTAGCTGGATCTTTAGGGTGTTGTTTTTCATCTTTATTTCTTCATTTGCAGCATCCTGCAGCAGAGCCTGCAAGTTAAAATCTGTCAAATCCCATAGTTCTAACCTCAAGCCACAACACTTGCTTATAAAGAAGCCAGACTTAACATTTCAAGCTCTGCTTCAAAATTCCAAAATCGTCACCGTCTAACAAAAAGCCTGCTCACTTCACCCAAGAAAACAGAACTGACATGCTCAGCTATCTTTGGGCAACAGCAGACTATAACTTAAAATAAGAACCACCTCTCCCATCAATGCTTGCCACCCTTCCTACAGCGTGGCACTTCCACCCTCATAAACCAGCTACTCAGTGCTCTCTCTGCACAACACTTAAATCTGAGCACTGTATGTGTTTAAGGCCCAATATTTTTTAACTGATCAAGTCTTCGGAAGTGCCTTGCACTTTTGATAAATTCAATGTGACACTGTAAAGGACTCCAATTTTCAGGAAGTGCTGAGATTAATCTTCTGAAACTTCTGGCAATATTATTTATTTTCTATATATTATATCTAGAAGTAGGTACATGCTACACAGCCAATTTTAACAAGCGTAGCTAGGCTCTCCTTGTTTAATATTCATGTCACAGGAGTAAAAATCCAGCCAGGAATCAAACTGTGGCATCCTGTGCCAAAGACAACTTACCACTCAGCTGGTAAGTTGGCAATTCAATTTACAAACCTGCATAAATTTTAATCCTTTGTAGAAAGGTGGTAATATATGAGCAATATGAAAAGAACTGGATTCAGATCATTAGAGGTTCACAAACCAAACACACGAAGCTTTGGAGGCTGTCCAGAACAAAATCATGCCTAGGTGGTGATGTCCGTTCAATAAAAATTCAATGTCATAATTATCCTCTCACTTTTTCCCCAAAGAGCATTAGTGCTCAGAACTGTGCTGCTGCTCAGCCAATTATATTAATGCTGTGAGAAGACGGATAGGGCTGGCAGCCAATCGCTGTGCCAGGTCACTGCCTGCTGACGGGTAATTTACAATTATCAAGCAATTAGCAAATGAAGTGAAAATTCAACACTCATCTCCACATAACACAGAATAACTCATTTTAAAATTAAAAATATGTTTTAATAACTCCATTTTGGCTACAGCCACACAGGGAAAAATAAAGCCTCCTTTTTTCAGTTTCTCCTCCTTTTACAACTAACAAAATGCTTTGCTGTCTGAAACTAGCAATCAAATACATTGTTTGACATTTCCAAACTAAACAATCTCTTCCTTACAAGTATCTATTTAACAACAGAAAAGAATAAAAATGAATACCGTTGATAAAGGTACTATTCATCCAACTACTATATTTGAAACTGTTATTTAATTAACCCCCTGACTAACAGCCTGTCCTGGTGGATAGGTGATAACAGGAATTATCCAGGTACCCATCTGCCAGGAAGGCCGAAATTTTCTTTTCTTCTCTATATTTAAAAATAAAGGACATAAAAAAGCTAATCCGCAACTAGTCAGTTGCACAATACAATATTCTTTCCCATTAATGATCAAGTTGTTACTCTGTTCTGCTGACAAAGTATAGAGCTCCCATTGACTACATTCACATTCCTTATTTAAAAAAAATTAGTAAAATATAACTTTTTTATAACCTTGGTTTATCCCCCCCATCCAGAAAACTACTGCATCTTCCTTAGTATATGGTATGAACATTGGAATTGACCTTCTTTAAAAGGGTAAGAAAAAGGCAGAGAGGTCCCCATCAACAGTGAAAGCCAAGTGGACAAAAGGAGATTCTTGTATTTCTGTGTCCTCTGATACAAAAAAAAATTCCTGAGTTGGTAAAGGGGAAAAAAAAAAATAGGAAAAGCTACAGGCTCCTACCAAAAGGGGAGGGGAGACACGACACACCACCAAAAACAAAGACAATAAACAGCTGATGTAAATATGTAACACTTTTGTATGCACAACACTAGTCTTGCTGCACTGATGTCAGCTCTAGGTTTTCATCTTACATTTAAATGTATCTAAGCCAGGGTGAAAGAGAATTTAAAAAAAAAACCCACACCAAAAAAATATACACAGCCAAATGATGTCAACTAGGAAAAAAAAGAAAACTGATGGCATTTGACATACTTCTCTCTCCAGAAAGACACCAGCTACAAAGTACACTTTTTTTCTGACTGTATGGGGTTTCAGAAAACATTCACGCTGTCACCATGATATATTTACTTTTAAAACAGTCCTTCACCCTCCTTCTGCGCGAGAAATACTTATTTCTGAACTCTTTTTTTCTTGCCCCCTCTGCATTACCACAGTGTCAGAAGGAACGCGAAGGAGAGGAGGGAAACCAAAGCAACCCAAGAAAAATCCTCCACAAACCTGTTGCTGTGGATACTGCATTCCTCCCATGGCTGCCGGGGCTCGGCCCTGCATTCCCACGGGATAGCGCTGGGGGCCGGGAGGGCCGTAGGACTGCCCGGGGTAGGGGCTGCTCTGCTGGCTCTGAGAGTGAGGGTTATTGCCCATGCCGTACAGCTGAGGTCTCTTCATGACCATTGGATCCATTGGACTGCCCTGTTGTAAAACACAAGAAAAGAAATAATTTGAGAAACGGAAAGAAAAAGGTCAGAATAAGGCATGCTTACTGCGGGCAAACTATATGCGCTTTATACTCAGTGCCTTATACATCAAATATTGACTTGACAGACAAACAGGCAAAGTACCATACTCTGGTTCCCATATTAATTAGGTGAGTTTTTGAACAGTGAGTTTGGGACCTCCATTGCATTTTAAAAAAAAAGTAGTAATTTTGCACTCAAGGTTGCCTCTTACCTACAGAAAAAGCAGGTATGATAGCTGCCCAATAAATTCCAGCTTAAGATATAATAAAGTATACTATTGTAAACTGATAAGCATCACTGACTTCAGTGCATGAACGTAAATAAAACCGTGTTTATCAAGAGAGACACAAGTAGTGGGCAAGCCATTTAACCTTGAGAAAACATCTGTTTTCTTTACCTTGAAAAGAAAAGAGTTTCCAAGAAGTGCAATGCATACAGAACACTGTATTTCAGTGCTTTCATATTGCTATCATATGCATTAATAAGTTTCCAGATCATAAGGCAAGTCATAACCCACATTTTACATGAAAGTTTATTTGCCTCCTTAATAAACCTCAGGAAATCCAAACTGCAATCACTGATGGAAGGGGAGGGAAGGCAAGGGAGGGAAGTTTTATTTTTAGACTTTTTGGCAGCACTTACCAAGCACCGTAACAGTTTCAGGACGGGTGTCAACCATTGTGTGGTATTACTCTCATGTTTTATTACTGAGGACTAACTGAACCAGAAAAAAATATCGTACTTTGTCAGGCACAGCACTGTATTGTTAATACGACATCCATTTTTTCATTCCTGAGTGCTGGTTATATTCACAGAAGAAGGGGTGGGGGGAGCTTTTAAAAAGCCTATCATAATCTCATCTTCATGAAAGAGACACATCCCCCTCCTCCTCACAGGGAAAAAGAGCTATTAATTCAGTCAGCCCGCCTGCCCTCCTGCCAGGAGCAGGATTCCTTCCTGTAGCACATTTTATACATGTTTTCCTACAGTGTACTGTTAACCATTTTAATTTTAAAGCCTCCTATGTAACACTGCTTCTACAAGTCCTTTTTGGCTATTATATTCTGATGTAACAGTTGTGATGACAATAAATTACACACACCTCTCATTTCTTATTATTGCTGTCTGTACTACTAACACACTACGGCTTTTTCTCCCAATACGTACAAGGTGCATGCCCTCCAAAGAAGTCACTGCTTAATGAACTATTATGTGTTGTTCTTAGGATTTTTCTCCCACAAGTAAATAACTCAAACCTTCTCACTGTTTTCACTAGCTCTCCCCACCCTTACCAATATCATTTTGCCAGGAACATCACCAGAGCCAAATACAGTATTCCAAATGTGGCGATGCTATACCTGAGGTGGAAATGATAACCACCTCCTCCTCCTTGCACGGCACCTCCGTTCACTTCAGAAAAGGACTGTCCTTTTTTTTTTTACCACCACAGCCAATTGCACATTCACTTCTAATTTTGAGTGAGTATTACTCAGCAAATTTCCCTTTATTATTTGGCTTCTTTCTGGCCAAATTAGAAGTTTCTATTTTTCACCACTAAGTGTCCCTGGGTAATTTACTATTTATATTTCATGCTTTTCAAAATCAATGGTTCCCCAACCACTTCAGGCCACCTGACCCACAGCAACACTCACTTTTTTTTTTTAGGCCACCATGCACTCTCACCACACAACTAAAACGAACGCAGACACAAAGATTCAGCAGATGGACTAGAGGTTCCTTCTTACAAGGTCCATGGGAACAGCTTAAATTTCCTGCTTTAGACCAAGATACTTTATGTTTATTTCTGTGTTTTAGTGTTCATTCTGTGCATCACCTGTCATATTCATCTCCTCAAATATAATTCCTTGTTCAAAGCAAGTCTTGAGTTTCCTTCACAAGATTCTCATGAAGCCCAACAGCACTGTTCATTGCGACCATCTTCTGTTTCAGGATATTATTTCCAGGTCTCAGTTCCAATTTTAATTTTGAGTGTAGTATCTTCTGTTCCACATGTGATACTTAAATATAATGATAAACAATGCAGATAGCTACACAGCTAAAACAGTCTGACACTTTCCATTATTAAGACTATTTTCAGGTGCATATCAACTTTGCCAAACTTCAAGCATTTAGGCTGAAATTTTCCAGGCCATATGTATGCCTGAGGCTGAAATTCTCTGGAAAATTCAGCAGAAACAGTTCAGCTATGTCTTAGAATGAGGTCACAGAAAAATACATCATTTACGTTCTTACATAAAACACTTAAAAATACCTCTTGAATACCATGCTTTGGGGCAGAGAATTTTAATTTGCCAGGGTGACATTGGACGCTCGTGAAAGGCAAGGTGTGCACCCATCGAGAGTGCGCCTGAATGTCCCCAGACCCCAAGGAGCACCAGAGGGGGACATGGGAGCGCATGAGCAGCACAACGAGACTTCATCAAAAAGGTGTATGGAGGTGGCCTTGAATTTGCCAAAGAAAGAGGGACAATGGGTTAAAGCAGCGGAGACAGAAGTGGGGCAGGAAGAGTTGAAGGGAAGAGGAGGAAACAAGGTCAGGAGGTGACTGTATGGATAAAGGCCAAAGAGTCGTTGTCCTCTGGACCGCTGACCTCCAAGCAGTGGAGGGGTATGTGTGTGTGTTAGGAGATTGAGCCTCCCTGCCACTTCATCCTTCCTTCCCTTCTCACCAGCCTGCTGCCTCTTTACCTCTCCTTGTCCTCTCCAGAAGAGCTGCTCATCCCTCAGGTAACAAACATCCCTCTGCTTCAGCAAGGTGCAGGGATAAAGAGCCTGACATACCGCTCTAACTCCAGTCTGTAGGTGATCCACATAATGCTGAAACCGAGGGGGCTGTGGTCACAGGGTGTGGGTAACAAGGGACCTAGGCGTACTCAGAATTTACTGTGGACACTGCGACTGAGGCATCAGGAATGGGGAGATACCGAACAGGAGAGGGCTAGAAAGACAGCAGTAAATATCCCCAGGCAAATTCCTGGGACAACCCAGAGACACCCATCCTAGCTGTCAGTGCTGCCGGTTCCCTCCTCCTCCAAGGTCTCAGGG